ACCCGACGAAAATAGAACTGAAGAATAAAACTTTTCAAGCTATGCTTTTAAGGTGTTACGCATGGGAGCTAAGATTTACTTAAGATTTAAATTCAAGATTTAGTTCGGCAGGCAGCCCACAAGCAAGAACTCAGCAGCTATATTTGCTGCGGTCATGACTAATGAACGGACTCTTGAGTCAAGAACACACTTCTATAGCGATAACTATGAATGACGTATTGGAACAAAACTCACCTGTCCGACACTCGAAAAGACGAAAATAGAAATAAAAGTCGAAGCAATTAAAAGGAGGGCAGGTTCTCAGAAAATTTGATAAAAACAACTATCTCGAGCTTATGGCAGTGTTCACACCTCTACAAGACGAGTCAATTCTAGGGTCAGTAGATGTGGAAGTCATTTTTACACTGATTGTTTTCAAAAAATGCACGCGAAGTGTGATTTTCTGGGAGAGAATAGAAGTTACCAGAAGTTTTCAGAAATTAGGAATATTTTTCCTAACCCACTTTGTGTATAGTGTTATTCGGTGGTTGCAAACTCATTAAATACAAAAAACTCCAAGTAAGACTAAAAATCGAGAGAAACAACCGAAGAGAAGGGCGCGATCCACCGTTGAGCCGCGTTGTCGTCGAAGGGTTAAAGTTCGAGACTCCAGTTCACGGAGGTGATGGAAGGGAGAGCCACTTACAGTAACTTTGTAGATTCTTCAAAACCCAAATTAATAAGATGTTTCTCAGTTTCTCGAGGAAAACGTCTTGCAGAATGCAAAGTTTCCTCCACAAATGTGATTCATAAAGTCATGCGTGCGGATTACCAACGCTCCAATCCACTCTTGAGATTTGACTCACTCACATGTCCTTTGTGTTCGTCTGTGTTAAACTTCAATCTAAAGCCCTTACTCCCTTCACAGAATTTTTTGGCGGACTCAAAATGTGAATTCAAAACCAGGATAGGTCTAGTCATGAATACAAGTCTCATTTCAAGCGACTACATGGGATACTTTGCTTGCTGAAATCCGATTCTCTTCAATACCGTGTTCGACTCGAGGACAATAACAAAACATTGAATTGAGAGGAAACTTCAGAAATGATAAGCAAGAACATGCATAAATATGGTAGAGCCGAGCGGTAAACTTTTCACCGAGTGAGTGTGAATGAAACTTTCTCTCAGGAATAAAATAAGTGCGGAATCACTACATAATGCTTTTTTCGTTACGGTATCATTTCTAAGAGAATAAGTGAGCTTTTGAATCTATTCACTCCTTGGTTCTCATGCAGAGTTCAGGCTCCAATAAAAAAAGAAAAACAAACGATACAAACCAAGTCGGAACACGCGATGATTAGCTCTTGCTGCATAACAGCTACGTGTGGCTCATCTTGAGGGCAGCACGAAAATAATGTATCCACTAGTTCTCCAGGTGAAATTGGACGGCATATCACCACTTCGCGCACACTCCGAACTCCAAGAGTCACCTCAAATGAAATAGACTATAAAACTCTTTACAATAAGTACTATCTAAAAGGGAGGTCCCACTGGGAAAATCAGAAAATCGGCCCCATTCAGGTATCCCTTAATTTCTTTATTATGAAATTACAAAAGGATAAACATGACCCAGCAGCACAGTTGCTTTGATGCGCACACGACTCGATCAGTAGCTTGCCAGAATGACTGAGCTGAACTTCGCTGCCGTCTGTGGTGGGAACCGGGATGAACGACGGCGCGATAAATTTGTCCTCGTCAGTACTATATTGTCCTATCCTCTCTTTCTTCCTTTGCTTGCGGTCCGTTCTAAGGAGAGTGGATTCTACGTCGCCCACGAGGGCCGATTCTGTTAATCAGGGAGGTTATGAAGGAGGCGATCTTGACAAAATGCAGTTAAGGGATTGAGAACCACTTGTGAAGTTATATCAATAAGGCATTCCAACGAGAATGCCGAGGTTAATCGAGAGCCTCATACGAATATCGGAGAAGAACTGTTTCTTGGATTCACAGCACACCGATATCGAGAGCAGAGAGGCTTTTTAAAAATCACATTTTCTTCAAGTCGCCATCAGTGATATAAACGCTGAAATTAATCCAAGATGAACTGAAGAGCTTCATATCAGGACCCACGGAACAGAATGGAATGAGAAGGGTGAAAGATGTCCTAGTTTATCATGTCTACCCCTACTATCTATCCATGGTGATTCGCACTTCCAGAAACCCTCAGATTTGCAATGGGCATGAAAATCACTTGGTGGACAGGCTATATTGAAATAGACCACATCACCTTCAATCGACGATCTTGCCTGACTGACGACGAGGTTCTATAGATGGGGATCGAACCATCGCCTCGTCCGCGCAAGATTCTGTTTCTCAGTGCGTGAATAGAGAGAGCTGCGAAGATCGAGAAACTGTGCCCTACACCTTCATTTACTGGAATCCGCTTCTCTTGCGAGATTCTGGAAAGATTCCGTTGATAGCAACATCGATGAACACACCAAGTCGTCAAACATCTTTACTATAGTGCTAGAAAAGCGGCGAGCCTGCAAGTCGCCTGGGAACAGCTCTTTTCGAACACTTCTGAGCTAGTACGCCAGCAGGGTTTCGGGAATTTACGGACAATCATCAACAAAGTCCGAAATTGCGAAGCTATGCAGAAAAGCGATAGAAAAGATAGAAGAGCAGCAGTTCCAGACGAAGCTGCCGTTCAAGCCCGAACATTGCCAACTACAGGACCAAGAACAATTCCCTTCGTTGTGCAGATGGAACAGTTATTGCAACTCGATGAGCAATGAAGAAGCTCATCGACACGGATCTCTTCGATAGCCCTTTATGAATATCTACCAACTTGAGCGAGACGGGCATGCCGTTCCTTTAGTTTTCCCTCCAGAAATTAGATATGCTCTCAAGCCGATAAAAAACAGTATGGCGCCCTGTCGCGATAATATCAAACCAGGACGTCAAAGAATCTCCCACCAGTTATTGCCAGAACACTGGCAGACCTTTCACGCGGTACCTGTCGGAATGCCAAGCGCCCACATCATGGGAAACTAGCAAGCCTGTTGCTAGCTTGAGGGAAACCTCGACGGTATTGGAACTATTGCCCAATCAGCCTGCAGACTGTACCCAGACTGTAATCTAGTACTTTTCACTCGCATCATTCCCAACAGTACTGGCAGAATATCAGAGGAAGGACACCTTGCGAGCAGGCAGGGTTCCAAAGAGGGTCCGCTACAATTGATACATCCACATTACCACAGGACTAATTGAGGCACGCGAGAGTACATGATGTATTCCATTTATCGATTCCAAAGAATGCGCTTAATACAGTGGTAGGGGGAGACAGACACGGTTACTGAAGAAAGAAACAACCAGTATGCTCCATGTATAAAGATTCTCAGTGAGTTCTACGACAACTTCACATTCCAGTTTCACCACTCCATAAGGAAGCCGTTCTCATCGTGAAGAGAGGGGTTTAGCAAGACGATTCCATTTCGATTAATTTTTCCATTGCCACTCCCAACATAATGCGTCATTTGGAAAGGAAATGTTCGTTAGTGATAGTCGATGGCCGCTCCCACATCACTTCCTCGCGGATGACGTGCTTATAACACCGAACATAGAACAGGTAGAACGAATGCTGACTGTATTTGACATCGCTTGTGGAAAGATCAGTTTGAGACTGAACTTGACTGATGTCGACGAGAAACGGGTTGGTACCTGATTACCTTTACCTTGAACGAAGCGACCATCTCCAAGTGCTTTAACAATGTGTATCTAGTTCGAGAAGTCAACATGGTGAAAGAATCAGCTCCAAAGCTGTGCAGAAGGAAAGCGCGCGGGGAGCACTTAGAGGCAGAATTCACGATGGAAACTGTTTTTTAGATTCCCAATTAGGCTTACCCAGTGGCTGCTAAGTGTAACAGAAAGGGCGCTGTCGGGCCCAAAAACTCAAGAGCTAGGGCGTAAAAGGAGCCTCACCCGTCACATGCATGACTCATCGAAAAGGGACCTCTGGCAAGGACACGGGGTGGGTAGTGGAGAAGCTAGAGGGTTACTGTGAGAGCCGGGTGCCCGTGCTGAATTTGCGTTTCCGCTTCCCCCTGACGATAATGGTCAATGCGAAGAAAAACTCTTGAAAAAAATTTGCGAGCTACGAAAAACATAATTTTATAATGAAACCCGCGGAAACAAACCTGCTTTCCTCTAACCAACATATTTGTAATACCAGGAGCCAAACTATTCACAGCTTTCCGTAGGCGGCCTGCACAATAACGTACCAACCACCACAAACGTAGCTGACACACCCTACGGTACAGGCGTTCCATACGCTCGCGAATGGAACCTAAACATAAAATAGTTACGAGCATATAAACAAAATGGTACGACCAAACCAAGAAAAACAGAAAGGCACTAGTTAGAACATGAAAAAATATAATGCATACAGCCGTGAATAGGGGTTTCTGGATGACGCCTCGTCCACATGGCCGTCAGTGTGAACGCCATCAATCTCGGACGATCAACGTCATCCTTACGAATAATTTCGCAAAGCTCCTCATCAGAAAGTTTTTGCACGTCCTTCTACAACGAAGAGTGTAAAATATTTCAAGAACAACCTGATGTGGGAAGAGTATAGTGAAAAACCCTAACCTCCTCGGTGGTTTCATCATCTACAACGTCAAGAAGGCTATTACGTGAGAGAATCTGATCATTGCTATCCTTTTCTTCGAGGACATCAATATCGAACTCAACGTCATCGGACGAAGCGAAGTCAATGTGCTCAATACAACTCGTATTCAGTAGTTGCTAAAATCAAGATTTTTTTCGAGACAACCTCGCTAAGAATACCTGAAGAGCTACAATGTCTAAGGTAATCTAAAGTAAAGACTTTGTCTGACGTCTTTTCAAAAACAGGGGAGGGTGGGGGGCGTTAAGCAAGTACCGATGGTATTGCCGATCTGTGCCTTTTGCGAAACCACACTTCGTCTGCGCCTATTGACGCCACAGAAATGTGCGACTATTTCTGACTCAATACTTTTAAGAACCGAATAAGCCCTATTATACTGTTCAGTCTAGGGCTACAACAGTCACGTGAATGCAGTCACTGTTCTAGTCTGAGCGGAACAGGCATTTATGGTCTCATCCGTCGCTCCATTCCCCATGCCCTCCAAGTGCAGTTTTTAAACCGCGGCCGCTACAGGCGGAATGATCGAAGTTTAGCAACAAAGGAGGCGATTGATAAGTAGCCATGCTAAAGCACTCTCTAACGATTAAGCGACTTGCACTATAATCGACCACCCATTCATGATTCATTCCCTCGGGTCATATGGGAGGGATATTGGACAAGCTGCCCGAATGTGCATGCCGTTGCGTACACCTCGCTACATAAGCTGCCTGCGTGCAGTGCATGTGTCCCGGTGCGAACAATGCAACCACTACAGCCTCTGTGACGCTAAAAGGGCTCGTCCGTTTGGGGAGTGTGCGCCGGCCAAGCCTACTTTTGGGCCTTATTACTTTCTAGGCCGTTTTTCTATCCGACAGCGTACCTTGTACTATCGGCGGGATCAGAGGTCCACCCTACGGAGGAGCCTTAGAGACCATTCCTATCGTGAACTATTCTTGGTACAATGGCAATAAAGAAGTTTAATGAGAAGAGAATGCTCACATGAACTCTTCCCAGCCGAACTCGAATCCCGTCAACATGGCCAGTTTTTAGTTGTACGAGAAGGTCCAAAATGTGATCAAAATACTCTCCAACTATGTTCTCCTCTCGCAGCAGAAGGCACATAGTCGGTCGTCCAGCCAGTTTCCATCGCTTTGCAACAAATTCAATGTCTCGCTAGAAATAGATAAAGTTAAAATTTTTAAGACTGCAATAAAAACTACAATACATTCCACGAGCATTAATACATAGCAATTAAGAACTACCCATTACATTTATTTCTGAAAACTACGAAAAATACAGAAGAGATAATTCTTGTAGGAATGCACGACTGTAATGGTTTCAACATTTTATTGGAACTGAATGTTGAGTAGCACGTAAGTGGATTTGAATTCAGCCGTACTAGGTGTTACATAATTAATGCAACTCGACTTCCAGTAACCATGCGTAACATGCGCGTCAGGACGAAGGTACTATGAATGCGCCCAGAACAAGCGTCCCAAATGCAGAAAACACAGACCTTGATATCATCGATCAATACAGCTGGATCGGAATTTACGTAGAAGTCTTTAACCTCGAATAGAATCGGATAACACAAAACGGTATCTCCGAAAACGCGGAACACCTTCAACCAACAATATGAGCTTTGTTAGAGGTAGAAAATTGTCAAATCAGTACACACCCACCTTAGAAGTACTCAAAGGCCCGAATGGTCGGGGAGGTCTTCCACTGAGCCCCAACTTCTCATCCCTTCCAAGACACTCGAACAGCTGAAAAGGCCGGATACTATCTTGTCAAGGTGGACAAAGCAACAGTAACGCTACACTAAGTTCGCGCCGTTAAAATTCTGAGAAACGACCTATTCATACTACGGATACCTGAACCATGATTAAAGAGACAATGAATGAAAAGTAAATTTCTAGTGAAACATTTTCATTGTTAACAGGTTAGATCGACAGTTTCGATAGAATGGTATTGAGTGAGTCCATGATCGAATTTGTTGCAATCTTGGCATGATATACAGTAAAGATACGTCCTGTTCAAGCCTCTCAAGATTGAATACTTTATACAGCTGTTTGCTACCTCGGTCTTTAGAGTGGTTCGGCAGCATGCCGAAAAACGATCCATCTCAAACCTTTCCGCATCACAAAAACGTG